CCACCCGATTACTGTCTATACATTTCCTGGACTACTTTATGAACACGAAAATATCTTCTTTATTCCTTAGGAGACTTGGCATTGTATATTGTATAGCTGCTGCTGCTGCTCTTGCTGCTGTTTTTAGGTCAAAATATTCACCACTCTCCTTTGTTTTTTCTTCTTGAGCTCAGAAGGCCTAATTCTGAGTCCCTGCATCCCCACAGATGTCCAAGCTCTTTCACAAATCTGGTATCACAGTTTCCCAAGCTCCACTAGAGCTCAGCATAGTTCCAGTGGGGTGCACTTGGTCTGTGGTCTTACTGCCAGCCCTGGGACAGGTTTCAGAAGCACTGCTTCCCTCCCTCTCTCCCTCCCTCCCTCCCTCCCTTCCTCCCTTCCTCCTTTTCTTTCCTTCTTTTCTTTTCTTCTCTTCTTTTCCAGCTGGGATTTGAAACCAGGTCCTCACTCATGCTAGGCAAGCATCCTGCCATTAGGCTATACCCTTGCTCAGAAACCTCATGCCCAGCAAAGGAAACAAAGAAGCAGAGAATGCTGGTTGTGGAGCTGCAGGCCTTTAATCCCAGCACTCGGGAGGCAGAGGCAGGTGGATCTCTGTGAGATTGAGGCCAGCCTGGTCTACATAATGAGTTCCAGGCCAGCTGTGGCTACAGGAAGACCCTGTCTCAAGAAAGAAAGAAAAAAGCAGAGGGTAAGACTAGAGATACAGATGCTACTTGGAAAACTTTTATGTCAATGCATTTGTTATAACATAGTGTTTCAATTAAACAAGGCTTTGTGCTTTAAAATATTTCTGCAAAAGACATATGGGGCTGTTTTCTTCCTGGGCCCCTATGAATGTGGATAGTCCTACCCAGTAGTAAGCACTACACATAAAAGGTGAGAGGCTTTGTTGTGGATGAATTCAGAAGCAGAGTCAGGAAGACCTCAGAGCAGGCAGCAAAGATAAGGCCAGCTGGCCTGTTAGAGACAGGGTGCTGTTTCTTTGGGAGAGTGACCTAAGGCATAGAGAGACTGGTGGATTTCTCTCTCTCTTCTTTTGGAGCTGGTGATAAAGGGTGGTTGGAGAGACACTCTGTTTAGTTCTCTGTCAGTAGGAAGACCCCAGCAACACTTCAAATCAAGAAAAGGAACGTTTGGAGAGCACATTCAATTCTTTTTCTGCTCTCACCCCAACTCTGTCACCTTGGCTGCAAGGAAACTTCTTGTGGGTTTGGTTGTTCCCCAGAATGCAGCCCCCTGGGTGTGTGGTGGGAGCCTGCTTACAAGACGGCTGGTGGGAAAGGAAAAGGGCTCACATCAGGGGAGCCTCTGCGTGAGAAAGCAAACTGCCCCAGCCCTTCACAGTCCCACAGAGGCGGATGCAAATCCAGATCCCTTCTGACTTCAGCCCCCACTCCCAGCAAGGGCAGCCTTGAGTAATACAGGAGTGCATACCACAGGCGTGCAAACCATGGCACCTCACTAGGCTGCCTTGCAAGACCCAAGAGTGGAGTTTCAGCATGTCCTGCGGGCAGACTCTGAGTATGCACCTCACTTGGAAAACTGACAGGAGAATGAAAGTCATTCAGTCAGCTCATAGTCACAGGACAGTCTGATCTATGGAGTCTCCAGGCTGGTAGTGGTTCACCATGTTGAGATACCGAAGAGAGAGAGAGAGAGAGACAGAGAGAGAGAGAGAGAGAGAGAGAGAGACAGAGAGAGAGAC